GCTTACATGTGAATATACCAGTTAACTATACTGGTGCTTACATGTGAGGGTGAAGAGGTGACTCTTCTTCAGATTGTGTGTGTGCTGCAGTTTACTGAACATGTGTTCCAGTGTGGTTGTAAATCTGATGCTACTGAAACCTGCACATGCTGGATGATGTTTCTTCAGGTGGAGTTCACTGCCTGCCTCCACGGCCTGCTGGATGCTGCATGTTCTATATTTGTAAGGAAACTTTCGCCAGGCAGCAGCGATCACACATTGAGTCCATCAGGAGATGTTCCAAGTTCAGGGATGTTGGTGTTTATCATGAAAACACACTTAACTTTTAGATCTTTGTACTGCTAGCTGTAATTTTAATGTAGGCCTTTTGAGCATCATCCTCATAATTCACACTCCATTTTGTTTGCACTGAGTAGACACAGTGTTGCTCAGCATGACCCACGGTGTTCTGGTGGTTCAGAGTCTGAGAGAGCAGAACCTGTGAACACACAATTAAAATGGTGAATGAAAAAACAGAAACATAAATATAATAGATCTATTTGTATTTTAATACACACATATATATATATATATATATATATATATATATAATAAAGTAATAAAGTAATCTAATCAAGATTTGAAGTCAACATGTCATTAGATGAGCTCGTCATTAAAATAAGGCCATTAACCATTTCAACTTGGAGCTTTGTAAATCAGTTAAAAAAATACTTTAAAAATCAAGTGTGCACAATTTTTTAATACAACATACAGAAGGTTGATTGATTCTAAAATAATGCACATTAATAATTTATGTAAAATTAAGGAGCCAAGAACAACGTACCTTTTGTTCAAACCACAACATATTCTCAATGCGGGTCTTTGACATTTGTTATGATGCGTAACCATGGCAACAAGGCAGTTTTCTACAACCAACAGCAGCTGATTAACATCTCAAAAGCTCAAATAATATCTCAACTACATCCCCAAATCTCAGATGAGTTGAAAAGGATGTTCTGTGGACGCATTCTCATCTACCTGCCAGCTGTGCTCGAGTGTCTGACCACTGAGATCCTGGAACTAGCAGGAAACACGACTCATGACAGCGGAAGGACAGGATCGTCCCTCGACACCTACAGTTGTCTGTCCACAGTGATGAGGAGCTCGGCAGACTGCTGGGAGGAGTGGCCATCACTACGGGAGGAGTTCTGCCCAGCATTCGGGCAGTCCTACAGCCCGGGGGAACCGAGAGGCCAGCCGAGTCTGGGTGGACGGATCGGACGGCATCTGCAGCCAGTTTCTTAGGATCCACTGTGGGATGGACCTTTACAAGAGATCCTTCCTGCATACAGCATCAGTATCTATAACATCTCTTAATGAAACGAGGATAACGAGTTACAACAACAAATAATTTCCCTTTGGGATTAATAAAGTATTTTTGAATTGAATTGAATTAAAAATGTCCAAATCATCCACCCAGCCCTTCATAGATTGGACCAGCGCTTCCAGTAACTTGTAATTCTTTAAACTATTTGCGGTGACACACACCAGGTCTGCTGGGAAGGTCAGTGGAAGCAAATATTACTCCGGGTCTCTGCTCCTTTTATATTTTTTCAAAGGGGCGACATTTCCAATTTTACCGATTTTTTCCATGCACCGTTTTTAATCATCTGGGAGAAGTTTGTCACGATACACTCTACAGACACATTTAGAGAGAGGACAGTTCACAGAGACACAGTGAGGACGAGTGAGACTGAAGGAGGTTCAACCAGTTGTTCATGGACCAGTACCAGATGAGAAGAACAGCAGAACTTCCACTGACCAGTGATCTGACCAGTGACCTGACCAGTGACCTGACCAGTGATCTGACCAGTGACCTGACCAGTGACCTGACCAGTGATCTGACCAGTGATCTGACCAGTGACCTGACCAGTGATCTGACCAGTGACCTGACCAGTGATCTGACCAGTGATCACACATGTTCTAAATTAAACTTTGGTACGAACAGTGTTAAATAAGACATGTCATATTTTTATTGAACAATAATCTTCATTCTAACAGTGACGTTGTAATTTCAGAGACTGAGGAAGAAACAGAAATGAGGCGAGTGAGATGAGGGAAAGATGAAAATGTGTCCTCAGAGGACGGGGACATGTCAGGATCTGATGATCCAGGATCAACAGGACCAGGAGGATGGATCAACAGGACCAGGAGGATGAATCAACAGGACCAGGAGGATGAATCAACAGGACCAGGAGGATGGATCAACAGGACCAGGAGGATGGATCAACAGGACCAGGAGCATGAATCAACAGGACCAGGAGGATGGATCAACAGGACCAGGAGGATGGATCAACAGGACCAGGAGGATGGATCAACAGGACCAGGAGGATGGATCAACAGGCAGTCAGGGAACAGAGATGAACAACCTGAGGAACAATTAGAACAAAAAAATCCATAAGCAGGACAGAAGAAACTCACAGACAAGAAAATTAACTCAGTCCTGCGAAGAAAAATGTTAATGTAAAATAAATTCTGACATTTTTTTTTACAAAAGATCAGATGAAGACAACTGTCATGAAGAAGAACTTCCAGCTCCATCTCAATGTACCTGTGATAGTTTAATAAGTGTTTTGTTACTGTTCTACAGTTTATTGATGCTGATATATTCTTGTAATAATTCTTATTTCTTGTTCTGTCTTGAAAGAGTCTCATCTCAACTTGACCCATGATTACCAAACACTAAACTAATAATATAAAACTAATGTTAATGAACAGTCCTGCAGTAAATACCAACTTTGTGAAGGTTATGGTGTTAAAGTAATCTTATTCAAACATCTTGATTCAGCTGTTATTGATTAATGGAAGACAGAAAATGAGATCTTGTACCTTTGTGATACTTTGAATGCAACATTCAGTTCATGAAGTCATTCTCCTCTGGTTTACCTGGAAAACATGAAACAAATTGACTCATCTCCACAATCACGTTTTTCTTTAATGATAATGTCACAATTTACGCTGCAGTCTTTGACAAATGATCTATAACTTGAACTAAATGACGTCAGTCTTGTTGTCATGTTGTCATCATTCTTGGTTAAATCAGGTCTCTCTTGTAAATGAGTCCTCGAGGCTCAATGGGATCAACCTGTAGAAATAAAGGTTGAATGAATCTCTCAGGAAAAAAAGACCAAATATTTTCTAGTAGAGTTCAGTAACTGGAATTACCATAAATTTAAAACAGACCACCTTTCAAAATTTAAGCAGTAATAGATATTTTAAAACTCTGAATTAGAAATAGACCCGTTTAAACCGTCATGTTGCAGAGCAGCTGCAGTTAAAACACAACTAGTAATTTAACGTTTCATTAACTAAAACTGGAGACATGAAGTATTAATGTTGATAAATTGTGGTACAGAACAGTCAGATAACTCTTCACAATGGAGAAAAAGTGTCGTATTTTCATCAACTTACCGGAAAAACAACTACGTTCAATGCTGAACATCTGCTGTTTGGAACTATTTGCCGCTGCATGACCCACGTGACTTCCGCATTCCATTCTTTCTGTGGGCGTGTCGCAACTCTCTACAGGACTTTGGACGTAACCAACGATTCACTTCTGGAATGAAATTACTGAAATAAACTTTTTCACGACAGTCTAATTTTATGACCAGCACCTGTAAATGTTTATGTTAACACTTGTCACTGAACTCATTTATAAATTAAATGAGTCAATTTATTAAATTTAAGAACGTTCAAGTCTGAAGGTTAAACCAGATGTTTTAGATCAAAGCTTGTTACAATAAAGACAAAGAATGTCAGAGGTTCTTCTCACGTCACATTTATTAGTCATAAATCAGAAACATTCATGCACGTGTAAATGAGTGCTTTATTAAACATCAGCATGAGAAAATGACATTCTCTGGCTGTAAGCTGCTGAAACGAAGGAGCCACAAGAGAAAGACCCAAAGAGCTTGAAACACAGCAAGAAGACTAAAAATGTCCAAGTGAAAGAACAAGTTTCAGAAGGTGATGGTGCAGCCCTTAAAGTTCGCTGGTGAAGGAGCACCCCCAGGATCAGAAACTGATCAGTTAAAATATCCAGATGGCTTCGTGTTCACCGGGACTCTGAAAGAAGTGCTGGATGAAAACAAACCGTTTTTCCTGAGTTGTAAATTCAGTGCTCTAAGTGAAAGATAAAAACAGCTGGAGCTCCTCCTGAGGTGTTGAAGGAGCTCCAGCTCCAGTCAAAGGTCTACACCTTTGAACAAATCAAGTCATAAGACAGGAAGAATGTACAAAATCAAACGAGTCGTTTATTGAAGTCTGAAGCGTTACAGTTTAATGGAGGGGGAGGACATGACGCTGCTTTAACTTTCCATCACTACAGGTGGAGTCTAACAGCCAGGCTTCATCCACCTTTACACTTCCTACACTTCTCACAAACTATCAAAATAACAAAAACTGTTTTTAAACTACAATTTGTAATAAAAAGCAAAAATATCACAGCACATAAAATGCAGACTGCTTAGGGAAATAAAACTTAAATAGCCCCCCCGGGAGGTTTCTGGTATTAAAGTTTTTCTTTAAAAGCACATCAGAAAGTGGTTCAGTTATAATGAAATATACAACAAAACAAAGGCAAAACAACAACAACAACAACGACTGGCTGACAGGCTGAGCCACACCACAGGAGGTCCAGTGGGACCTCTGCTGCCGGCTCTCCTCTAATGGAATGTTGCTCCATGTCGCTTCGCTCTTCGTTTGGTGGGTTCAGCCGATTAAAAGTAGATTGTAAAAAAAAACCGAACTCAAACGGCGGGGTGGAGGGACGTTCCGTGGCTCGCGGTGGTTCTCAGTGTCTTTAGAACAATGTCTCAGTAATATCCAGGCTGGTACTGCTGGCTCCAGGGCTTCTGGTTCCAGAACTGGGGAGGAAAACATCCCAGGGTTAAGAATGGACATCACCGGCAAAAACATTTAAATACAAGAGAATCAGTCCACACGAGCACCCAGTTCACATCACCTCCACCCGAGATCATCTCATGTGGAGAACAAGTACAGACTCCGCCCCCCACCCCGAGACATTTGAGTTTCTCTGTTCTGGAACTGAACAGGAAAATGTAATAAAACAATTTTCATGCAACATATACAAGTGAAGGAAGGAGCTCCATAGTGTAGACAGAAGAGGTCTGTCCTCCGAGGTGGCTCAGAATGATGGAGGGAGACATTTATCCACCACCAGGAGCAGTGGTGGGGCCCGGGGGTGGGGGCCACAGTGGCCTTGGCCACCATAGATAAAATCTTGGAACAGCTTCTACGCTGAAGCTGTTGCACATGAATCCCTAACCAGGATTATCACTGTGAAAAAATAAACATCTGTGATGCCACTTTGGTGATATGTGCTGCTGATCTCATGCTGCTGATCACATTCATACCCATCTGCTCACACAGACTCATGTTCGTGCTGTTACGCCGTATTATTATTATAGTTTAGGTTATATCTTAGATCCTTATGTACTGGTTCTTTTTATACTTGATATTTGCTATTGCTGGGTGTAACTGGGACAGAGTACATAACTTCGTTCCACCTCATGTACATTTGGTGAAATGACAATAAACCCACACCCGACACAGCCCCACACCAAGTGATGACACTCACATCATGCACGTTATGTGCAAATAACAGAATAATAATATTTGCACCCCATCTTTCTTTCTGGTATTTTACATTCAATAGGATATTTTCACCCCCCCCCCCCCCCCGCTATCAGTTGGGTGTACTCGTCACTTGTCATATCAGACTCTGTTAGTCATGTTTCATATAATGTTTTACAGAGGCGGGCGAGGACAACAGACATTTACTTGAGCGTGGAGATACTGACCCCCTGCTGCCAGCTCTGGTTGAAGGCCTGAGCCTTGTCCATGTTCCCGTTCCTGTTGCCGAAGTTGCCACTGTTCCTGTTGTTGCCAAAGTTGTTGTTCTTGTTGCCATAGTTTCCACGGCCGCCTCCTCTCTGCTGGAACTGTACAGGACAACAGAAGGTCAGATATAACACTGCTTGGACATTTAAGTCCACAGCTGTTTGACAAGGCCACATCTGGCCCCACCCACCTGCATGGGGTGGCCCCTGTTTCCAGTCCGATTCATGTTGCCTCCACCTCCTCTGCTCTGGTTTCCTCTGTTCGGACCGCCTCTGTTCATGGGTCCTCCTCGATGGCCCACGTTTCCCCTCATTGGCCCCCCTCTGGGGGATCCGCCCAGACTGGGCATGGGGCCTCCACCTCGGCTGAAGTTCCCACGGTTGGGGAAGCCCCCTCTGAAGGGGGGTGGTTGAGGCAGAAAGCTACGAGGAGGGCGGATGAAGCCTCCACGAGGTCCTGGAGCTGTGGACAGAACAATGAGGTGCTTTAGGTACAAACAGTCTTTTTGTTCCAACTGGTTTTAATGGAAGCTCCCTGACCTCCTCTGAAGTTGCCTCTGTTCTGGAAGCCTCCACGACCACCACCACCTCTCTGTCCAGGTCCACTGCGGCCAAACTGGTTCTTGCCTCCCCGGCTCCGATCACGATCCCGTTGGCCACCACTGCCACTGCCACCACCGCTGCCGCCACCAGTGCCGCCACCGCTGCTGCTGCCAGCACCTTTTTTTGGAGTCGTGCTTCCAGGGTTGGGCTTCTTCTCTGCAGGCAGGGCGGCCTTGCTCTCCTCTTTGTACTGCTCCAGCAGCTTGGACGCCTCCTCCTTCTGCAGCTCCGCATACGTGACCTCGCTGAAGCTTTCTCCCTCCTGGGGCAGAGAGAAGAAGCCTGCAGCACCAGAAACAAACGGTTAGAGACGAGGTGGAGAGGAAACACATCCAGGGATGGAAGAACTGGGTTTACTTTTCAGTTTGAGCAGCGCGTGCTCCGGCACCTCCTTTCCGTCACTCTCCACCTTCTTCTGGACTCTCTGCTTGTACTCCTCGTCAGAAGGGCAGACCACCACCGCCTTCCGCTGGAAGCCTGCAAACAGACACATCTTTCTCTTCTGGCCAGGTTCAGACACGTTGGTCTGGAAAAAATAAATAAATATATTATTTGACAATCAGGTGACGTTGAAAAAAGGGGGGCAGGGTTCAGTCGATGTACACCTACATGATCTAGAATGTAGTTCCTCTTCTTGCGGGCAGCAATCTCAATGAATTTCCCCAAGAAAAGTGGTGCTCTCTGGGAAATGGTGGTGAGTTTGGTAATATCCTTGGACTGGCGCTTCAAGCTGTTCATCTGAATTTAATAAAGAAATAAAATGACAAGCAGAACTTTTGAAGCTTCTCTGGGGAGAAAAGCCCAAAACGACACTGACCATCATCTTCTCCACAATGGTGTCGCTGCTCAGGATGTAGTACTTCCCTGGGTTCTGCTCCACGTGGTTCTTGACCCACGTGGTTTTCCCTGAGCCTGGCAAACCAACCATCGCAATGATCTGCAGAACACCAGTGATTAAGATGAACGCTCTTGATGAACCATGAATAAACGACACTTGGTGTTAACACCTCCATGCAGAAACATTGTGCTCACCTCACAGTCGGCCTTCGTCTGGGGCCCCTTCAGCCCCCGCACTCTCTCACCGACAGGGATCTGCTGCAGGAAGGTGTAGCCCTGAGGTTCAGGGAAGTACGGTGTCTCCATCTGGCCAAAGTTGAACTCCACAGCACAGTTGCGACACATGACGTGAGGGAAAAGGGCCTGGTCGTTCAAAGAGTCCTTGCGGACCTGGAAAGCGACGGCTGGTTCCCCACCGTTCTTGGAGAAGGACAGCACCACCTCATCACCCTCAAAGTCCTAAACCAAGCATGTGCAGCACAAAGTTATTGTGTACAAAGGATTTATGTAAAGTAGAATAAATTATAAGTTCAACACATCAAAGTTCATGCCCAATAATCCAGCTACAAAAGTTCAGTCAGGTCCTCTGGACGGTTTCTTTGTGTTGAAACATTTCATCCTTCATCTAAAAGGACTTCATCAGTCCGAGGAGCCACAACAAACTTAAGTCTTATGGAACGTTGATGTTTTGATCCACTTTGACCATGGCTGCCTCAGACGGGTCAGCAGGGGGAGAGGGCAGACTCCAGAAACCAGCTTATCACCATCGAACTGTTTGACCCAATATGTGAAGGTGCTGTTTATAAGACTGAGTTTGTTGTGGCTCCTCAGACTGAAGAAGTCTTTTGGATGAAAGAAGAAACGTTTCATCACAAAGAAACCATCCAGAGGACCTGACTGAACTTTGTTGGATATGTTTAACAGTCTCATTTAGCTACAAATCCAAGTCTTTATTCTTACGATGAGACAACAGATGACATCATTCTCCTCAAACGCCTCTCCAAAGTCCTCAGTCACACAGTTGGTCGTCTTCTTGCCTTTCCAAGAGTAGGCGTAGGAGAACTCCTCCTCACCTTCACAGTAACACAACACAGATGTACTCATTGTTAGAAAGTGAGGCTGCATGAAGCAATAACCCTTTCCAACACATCTGGAGAGGCCAGGTTACATACTGACCAAGGATTTGCATGACTTCCTGACAGGCTGTTGTTTTGACACCATTTCTCTTCACGTGCTTTAAGAGGAGGATTGTTAACAGTTTGGCCAAACTTTTGGACCACTTCAGCTCAAAGTACAAATATTTACATAAAATTTGAGACGTTGTTCGGTGCTCTCTTTAAACAAAACTAAAATATTCTGTACAAACGTAGATGCTAGGGACATAAACTTCCAACATTTTGCTTACAATGAAGTAAATTTAACCACAAGGTTCAAATATTCAATAAAACTTTAACCTGCAATACTGTATAAAAAGCATGTTTTAGGACTGGCTTCACGTTTGACTGGTTGAATTTATTTATTTTACAGTGAACCCTCGCTATAACGCGGTTCACCTTTCAGTCTCGCTGCTTCACGGATTTGCATCGTGCATTGTGTTCTGCATTCTGATTGGCTAACGTCTCTCCAGTACAGTAGTTATTTGTAAAAACATTTATACAGTACTTTTATTTGTTAAACAAATGCTTGGGCCTGTAAAAAGGTTTTGTTCTTTGGTTTGAATGTATTATGGAGTATTTCATTGTATAATAATTGTAAAAATATAAAGGTTACTACTCCACGGATTTCGACTATCACGGGTTCTTTTTGGAACGTAACCCCGTGAAAAACGAGGGTTCACTGTATTAACGTTTATTAAACCAGGCAAATCCCATTGAGATTAAAGAGCTAATTTGCAAGGGAGGCCTGGATTTAGCATGTACCGTATTTTCTGCTGTACATGTCGCACCAGCCCAAATATGTCTAGGTTCAAATTAGCTGCATTTTGCCAGAGCGGTGCGGCAAAATTAAGCCGATTCATCGGTTGCTCTAAACGAGCTGGACGAAGGTGGCAGGCTACGGCAAGCCGAATGTGTCGTTAATAGCCACTTTTACCTATTAAATGACAACGGCATGCCATACAACTCGAGTGCCATCAAGCGGCTGAAAATGGTAGTGTTCAATATTTTCAGTCAATGAATGAAAAGGGTCATATCTCAAACAGGTTTATAAATATGGAAAAAATCCATAAATACATCGTTTCAGCGTGTAAGTTGCTGGGCATGCACATTATGTAAAAAACTGAATTATAGACCCTTAACATTTGCAATGATTTTAATACTTGATACTCTGAACACACAAGACAGTGTGAGGGCGTTCCCTCCTGCCCCCCCCCCCCGTCTAACAGGCGCCCTGCAATCTTGTCCGACCTGAATGAAACTTACAGCCATGATTTATAGCAATCCAAACAAATCCTTTAATCAACCTTTGACCTTGGAGCTGAAGTGTTTAATGACAACACGTGTGTATGAAGTTTTGTTAATTTTAAGAGGATCAGAAGTTTTGTGTGAGACAAGAAAAGGTTTCTGAACATACAGAAATTGGACCGCCTTGTGACGACCAAATCAAAATATAAACGAGATCTGGACCGTAACATCTAGGGTCCCGCCCTCGTCTGTAGCAGCATTAGACTGAATAAATAAATACTGATCCTTTCAGTGACTCTGTGTTGTTGATACTAATGACCACAGACAGACAGCACTCGCAGGACTGACCTAGGAGCAGTGAGCCGTTTCCCAGGGACCATCCAACCTGAACATCATGAATCTCCAAGTTTTTGCTGGAAATGTGCTTCACTAGAATCTTTTCTGTCAACTGAAATCACAAACACAGAAGCATGAAGCCTACTGGTGCACCAACCTCTGCACAATCAGGGACTTTAAGCATTCACCGGCGGTACCGTACCTTCATCTCAAAGCAAACTTTGCCTTGCTTCACACCATAGGTGGCTCTGCCTCCAGACCAGAGATAAGCAAAGCTCTCCATGATGAGGGACGAGGCGCTGTACCGGTCACGTGACACCTTAAAGTGCAGGTCGCAGTTGTCTGGAACACAGAGTTGCAGATATGCCTTTCTGATACAAGTGTTCGTAATAAAGAATCCAGTGAAATCTTCCCATGTTGACACCAAAGAATGGGGAAGCTTACAGTCATCCAAGCAGACTTTAGTGTCATCAGATTCCTCATCCTCCTCATCCAGTGGGGGTACAGGGGACTTGAACGAAGCCCTGAAAAAGGATAAGAGGAAAAGATTTAGACGATTCTTGTGTGGGGGCAACTGGGGACCGCTGGCTGAAAAATACTGGAGGGAAGAACAGGAAAGACAGAACATGACTGAGAAAGTGAGCCTCCAAATAGTTTGGAAGGCTGCCTGTACTGTAGACCCTGGCAGGTACTTACCTTGCAGCATCCAGTGAAATCTAGATTGTGGAAGATACAGAAAAAAAACACTTCTACTAGCTCTGATTATTCAAGACAATCAGCTGTTAAACCACTTTAAGGTGAGTGTGTTGATGAGGTGGTCACAGCAGGAGTTAGATTTAATATCCTGTGTGTGGAAATCTAAACTTAAAGGCATTTATTCAACCTTTATTTATACAGGTTAGTCTCATTGAGCCTCGAGGACTCTTTTACATGAGCACGAACAGTTGTTGTAACTAAGCAGTGCAATTTTTCACCGGCTGGTTAATCAACACTTGAGACGTTGCACTTAATGCAAACAATCAACTTCACTGGATTTACTAAAATTAATTAAATACATTTTGTCTTTGTGTGGAGGGTTCAAATCCTTCCTGACTCCAGCGTTGTTGGACAGAATGTTGACTCCAAACAGCTCTGACTGTGACACACCTACAGCCATTGGAAAACAAAGTCCAGACTGTTGGATTTACGTTTGAGGACAGAAGAATAATCTGATCTTTACAGATTCATTTCCAACGCCTACCAAGTCGTAATTTAATAAACTAAACCAAGCTAACCTGGAAACATTAAGGCTGTGTTCACACTGTAGTGACTCTTAACCCAATCATTTTTGACAGTCAGAATGTGATGAATCTTTTTTTTTAATCGGACCCAGGTCACATGAGGTAAAAGCAGAGTACATATCTGTTAACAGTTGCATTTCTTGTGCAGATAAACCAAACATTGATCAGTGTTAATATACTGATATTAATATCAATACCAATGCAGTGTCTCCCCTACCATTATACAAGCAGCGCCCCTGCCCACTGAAACAAACCAACCCCCCCCCCCGGACAACTACAAGCACTCATGTGGCACTAAGTTAGCGGTGCACAATACAGACGCACTAGCTCAAGAGCTAGAAGTAGAGCTCCAACTCCCTCACCCTCTACGCTCAAATGTAAACAAGGACGAAGAAAGCAGATCGTTCAGTCTGTTCTGACTGCATGATCAATACACGCATGCTAAGATGTTAAGCATTCATGTTTGCTGCTGTAAACAAAGCATGTGACGCTGCGTCTTATTCTGTGCACGCAGGTCGCATCAGGTACTGCTCACACTAGAGTCTGATGAAGGGTGCATGAAGTTAGATTGTGAACGACCACAAACAAAAGGCATTAAGAGCTACAGTGTGAACGTAGCCCGAGTCTCGCCCAGCGCTTCTCAATTATTTTCTGTTACCCCCCCCAACTCTCCACCGCGACTGTAAATAGTATAATTTGTCTAAAAATTGTTATAAGTACACCTCTACATAACATTGTGTCCTTATTTACATTAAATTAAAAAAGATAGAAATATAGATCAACAAAGATTATTAACATTGTTTTATAGTCTGTAACAGAAAAGGCTTAAAGTTCATCAATTTGCCTGAAAAAAATGTTTTTAATCCTTATTTAAACTAAACATTTTGACCATTTGATACTGAACAATCAAATTAAATACAATCAATAAATAATAATAAATTCAAATTGATCAGTAACATTTTAACTCAGGAGTGTTATATACAACACTTTGACCTACAAAACAAAAATTAATAAAACGATTTGTGCTGATTTTTTTAAAATCAAAATGAGGAAGTCAGGATTAATGGCTACAATGAGCACGTTTTGCAGTGCACAGCTTTTTGAAACATGATGCTGCAGCTCTCAGCTCCTGCTCAGTGTTTAACTGGACCTGGACCTGGTCTCAGTGCAGCTCAGAGCGAGCTGTGTGTGTCCAGGGGAACACGCTCACAAGAGAAGAACCTGACAAGTTGTTTAATGACATAAAATATATTTTGTTAGCAAAGAACAGAGTCCTAACATTTGTTAAACATACGTTTTTCCAACAAATAAATAAAACATAAAAATTGTGCTTTGACAATCGATAAAAACTAAAAAATGTTGTCAACGTGAAATAGGAAGAGGAGGCAGGTGTCGCTCTCACTTTGACTTTATACTCTTTGACTTTATACTTTATACTCTTTGACTTTATTCTCTTTGTTGCTGCGCGCTGTGGGTGACAAGCGCCCAGAGCGGAGGACTTGTTAGTAAAGAACAGAGTCCTAACATTTATTAAACATTACTTCTGTATAAAAAACACATCAAAATGGTGCTTTGACAAACTAAAAAACAAACAAACAAAATGTTAAAGCGAAAGAGGGAGAGGGGCGGGCAACGTGTGCTGCGGGTGACGAGCGTCAGCAGCAGAGGGAAGAGACACGGTTCAATCATGGCTCCCCAAACAACAACAGTCGTATTTGTTCATAACTGTATTATTAGTCAGACTGAGTTGCCAGATTTTAGCAAACAGTTGCCGAACGCACCCTGACACAATGAGAATGGTTAAAAAAAAAAAACTCCCTGCGGGGGTCACACGCCCTCCCCCCAGGGGGGCGCCCCCACTATTTGAGAAGGACTGCTCTAGCCCAAGAGTCACAACTTGTGGAACCACTTTTAGCAGAGCTTGAACCTCTCATTTGTTAGCCGAGGCCTGCACAGTCTGATGGAGCTTTTTGTTTTCTTTTAAGTAGTGTATGGTCTGATCTTGGGGTGAACTTGGTGAAATATCCACTCCTGCTGGTGTAAGTAATTTCCATTTGTGAATAATCTTTGTTTCTGGACAATTACAGACTCTATTTAACCCTCCCCAGAATGCAACCGTTGCTCCTCTAAGGTCAATGTTCATGTATTAATACATACATTACTGCCCCAAAAGGACAAAACCCCAGCTTTTGCAGGTGGTGGCTACTAATGATGATCAGCTAGTCAACACATGCTCAAACTGATTAGTCTTTCTGAACTTATGATTAGACTTAAATAACTTGAGAACCTGGTAAAGAACAGATCATCTCCTGAGGTGCAAACCTCATGAAAGAGGGTGGACTTTCTTTTCCTCGTGCCCGAGCTGCAGTGGGGAAGATTTATACGAGCTCTGGCAGACAGAGTTCCTGGTAAATGAAACCCAACATAGAGTCATCCGTTAGCTGCCACTTCAGGCCTGCTGGTGCCTTCAAGTGAAAGTCTTTAGATGTTCTGAGGAGAGGTAAAGTGTTGCAGCAGTTCCAGGTACTCTGGTTCAATAGTCTTCTGTGAGCCCCACCTTTTAAAATTAGATAAAATAAAAAATCCAAAAGCATCTTTTCCCTCTTCTGCCCGTTGATCTTTAGGTGTCAGCAGCGCAATGAAAACAAAACACTAAGAAATAGGTACATGTACACACACACACGCACGCACACACACGCCATGCATAATGTCACTCGTCCACAGGGGTAAAGAGTCCTGCAAATGGTTTCACACACTCTCACTGTGACAACTCAAGACACAGGACATGATACAGAAATAGCACCTGGACATCATACAACCAGTGAAATAAATACATAAAATGAAAAGTAAATAAATAGATCATTGCGAGGCAAAACGATGGACGGTCAATAGCGAGCTTCTCCGTGGGCGTTCCAACTCTGGGATATTTTGCTACATCCTCATGTGCTACCCTGCAGCAGGGGACTCCCTTATCACTCGCCTCTCAGCTAGACTCCCAGATTAGCCCTTCCCCATTCAGAGTGCACTCCTACTACTTTTTCCTTTGGGTTCTCCTAAAGCAGTCTCAAATGTCCTTGAAGACAAAACGGGTTTTCCAAAACAACAAGTGGCATGAGGAACAGATGTGAAAATTCATAGATTTGATAGATGCACTTCTGCTACAGAATGCAGTCCATTAAAAACACAATGTGAGTGGGCACTGGAAAGAAGTAAATGGTAAGGCTCTTGAACTAGTCAGGGATGACCCTCAAACACATGTGTGAAAGGTTATATCATTAAAATATGATAGAATAATTCAAAGGAGGGTTTACCTCTTCTAGTTATGTGCATTGGCACTTAAAGCCAATACAGTTCAACAAAGCTACAGGTGGCGCTTCAGGGATGCTGAAGGCCACCTTTGCTCTGTCCCATCCTTACCAGCTGTATTTGTTCTCTTCAATAAATTCAAAGTAGCCCCTTCCATGTTCCTCCCGGCGTCTCTTAACACCCTTCTTATTCTTCTGATCAGCATTCGTGTCTTTGTCCGCATCCCCTTTGAAAATAGAACAAAGATAGAATGAGGTGCTCCTTTTTGAGACAGAGAGAGAGGTCGGACTGGCAGTGGGGTTCTGGCCCACAAAGCCCGTTCAATAGTTACATTCTGTCGACCATGATAATCAGTAATGTGATATTATAGAGGAAACACCTCAATAGTTACAATTAAGACAAAACAAGCATAATTCATGACTTGTGACAACTAGACCAGGTAGTAATTAGAACATAAACTGGCCCAAATAAACATTAAGAGCAGAGTTTGCTGGGGCTGGAAAAGCAGTTTTTGAAAAGGTAACAATGGACCTGTAGTGCAGGACTTAATCTACCTGTTTCCTAAGGCTTTTAGAGTCTACTGTTATCAGGGACAATGTATCATGCAGGGAAACCTACTTAAAACTGGAATAACTTAAATACTTCTTGTCTGTCTTATTTTTAACACGACTCTTATTCTAAACTATTGAAAACGACCATTGATGATTGGTTGAGAAGTTCAGGGCCGCTCCTTTGTAACGCAAAGCTTTTAGTTAGCAAGATCAAAGGTTCCCAACCTTGTTTCAAGCCCAACACATGGGCTTGAACACTGGAGGCCGCAGTCACAACATGCGAAATTTACCAACTAGCAAAATTAAAAAGACGCTAAAGTCAAGTAGACTTATTGAATTTTTAGCTTCACGCTTGTTGGAGCTGACATCTACCACAACCCGTCTCATTTGGGTCAAACTATTCTGATGGGAACCCCTGAAAAAGCTAACAGGCTAATCAGCTAACTAGCACAGCACCAGACAAAGGAAATGACGCTAACTAGCAAGCTAGCACCTTAACCAAACGGAAAGAAAAACCTATGTAACTATATTTTATCCACCTTTTATTAGTAATAGTACGTTTTGGCTACTTTCGGTTTTTACGTCGAATCTGGATTTAGTGCGCAAACTGAACTACAATTGATCAACTGTGTTGTTAGCCGACGCTAACGCTGACTAGCCTGTGTCACGCTGTCTGACTCAACATGGCGGCTGATGGGCGCTCCCCTCCCCCCGCGGGAACGTATTCAAACCTAAACCGTTTTCTACGGCTCCCACTTCCCCCGCAAAAATCCGCACCCAGCCACAGTCAATAAAAATGTCATTTTTACAACCCCTTTTAATTTGTTCGACTCACCCTCAGCAGCCTCGGTCCCGGGCTCACCGTCCTCATCTCCCTGCTTGGGGTCCATCTCTTCTTCTTCCTCCTCACCCATCTCTTCGTCCTCCGCCACAGCTTTCCCGTCGCCCGCACTCTCCGATTCCTCCTCGTTGGCCTCCATGCTCTCCTCCACCGGGCCCTCTTCTTCCTCTCCCATTCTCTCCTGGAGATCGACGGCCTGGTCGAAACCTTCTTCCACTGGAGCTTCCTCCGGAGCCGCGCCGGTGTCCGTAGCGAGGGCCTCGTCGTCCAGCGCGGCCTGCAGGCGGTCCATCAGCTCGGCCTTCAGCCCTTTGTCGGAAAGGTTTCGCTTTTTCAGTTCGTCCTTGAGCTCGTTAACTTTGAGCTTTTTCACGTTAATCGAGCTCATTGTGAACAATTAACAACAAAATCGGTTAAATGCGTCGACAAAAAAATAAAATTACAGCACGCCTTTTGTGACAGATGTCGCTCGAAACTACGCAAAATGTCGCCCGTTATTCAACCGATGTTTCACCGGCAGAGAGCTAACGTGGAGCCGCCTGGCGGAAGCTAACCTCAGCGTCAGGGTTGCCAGATACGAAATAACGAACTATTGTCCTTTTCGCCGGAAAACTGTGGTAACTATCGTGTGCAGAGAGTGAGCGCACACTTTTTTTCAGTGGGGGACGTGCGCACCAACGTTTTAATAAATCTGGGTGTTATATCCATAGTTGCCAAGTCTGCTTATTATAAGCGAGTTTGGGCTTGTTTTTTTTCTAAAGTCGCATATACATTTTGTGAGTCGCAGGTTGCGGGCATTTGGGCTTGTTTTGAACGTTAAGTCGCTTTTTTTGGGGCTTGTTTTTCTGTCCAAGTGAAAACAAAACACGAGTGGTAGGTAGTTTGTCCCTTCACGCCCCCCTTCCACGGATGTTACATCCCGGCGAATGTTGCGTCCAGGTGCGGCTGGCGCCACGCGACAGGCTGTTTTTCAATGGTAAAAACAACTAAACTAATTAAACTAAATAAATACATAATCACTTATCAAGAGCTTGTCCGTCGGGAGTTACAAGAGGGAGCAACACAGAGCCCAGAGTGACGCAGTGGCGGTTCTACACCAGTTTCGCTGAGGGGGCCTGGCTGGGGCCAGCGGTTTTGTCAGAGAGGCACATTCAATTTATTATTATTTTATTAATTTAATTTATTTATTTATTACATTTTTATTGTAATCAGTACATTATTTCATTGTATTCTAAAGAGCTATGTATTCTAAGACTGCAAATTAGCTGAAGCTAGATGTCTTGTTGTCTGTATTGTCCCTGTTAAATAAACATTAACAAACAAATGTTTTGCTTTGTTGTCAACATCACAAACCTGTTGGTCCAGTGCTTGTGGATGCACATATATTCTCTGTGTGTGTCTCCCACTCTGCTTGTATCTCACGTCTCAGCTTCCTCACTCTCAGGATCTTCATCCGTCTCTCTTTCCATCTCTGTGCTCTCTCTCTGAACATCTCCCAACTCCTCTGGATCGCTCTCTGTGGTGCTCTTAACTTGCTTCTCTTCAGCTCTCTCACCAACATCATCTGGCTCTGTCTCAATGTCTGCCTCGTTCTTATTCGTCTGTCTTGTGCAGAAATAGGAATTAATGCCCTTTCTTCTCTTCATTTTGCACTATACACACTATACACAACATGCAATGGAGAGGAATACACACACACATTATATATATATATTATATATATATATATATATATATATATATATATATACATATACATAAGTAGTAGTAGTTGTATCAGCATCTGCATGCATTAATTTGTCTATCAAATTAAATGAAATCAGCCTTATTCAAGTACTTTTTGACAATATTTATTGTCATGATGTAAAGAACTGAACATGTATGTTTAATTTCTGATGTCTAATATTCTCTCATGTATTGAGTAATAGCATAACATGTCAAAATATGAACATAAGTAAAACTTAACTGTTTATGTTTACACATGACTAACTTCAGAAAAAAAAAGAAATGAAAGAAAAGTTTGATTTACATTTTTATGTTTCACATATGGACTCAATCATCTTAAACTATTGAAAGAATTTAAATGTGAACACATTTAATAACTGAACAGACAATCACTGGTTTCTTCTGTGCTCAGTGGGAGAAGGGAGCTCCTGCTTGTCCTGACAGAATTTTGAAACTGGGCTGGAATGGAGTCAGAGCCGTTCTCATGCATGTGTGCAGGTGTTCATTGGTGAGTCTGGAACAATATTTGGTTTTTATAATGTTCATTGTGGAGAAAGCTGCCTCACAGTTGTGTGTGGAGCCAAACATGGTCAAGATCTGCAAGGCTACTTGCTTCAGACATGGACAAGCTGAATCAGGAACCATTTGGAGTCAGAAAGTAGAAGGATCAGTCCTGACAAACTGCTCCTTCAGGACCAAGTCTGCTTGGAGGTCAACTAACTCTGTAGATGTCCAGCATTTACACACTTCAAGTTCTGTGTGACTTCCTTTGAGAAGCTCATCTGTGGTGACAAATGGGTTCTGAATGAACCTGGTGAGCTGCTGTCCAACACTCCCTGTCAAAACCATTGATCCCTGTCAAAACCATTGCTCCCTGTCAAAACCATTGATCCCTGTCAAATCCATTGCTCCCTGTCAAAACCATTGCTCCCTGTCAAAACCATTGCTCCCTGTCAAAACCATTGCTCCCTGTCAAAACCATTGCTCCCTGTCAAAACCATTGCTCCCCTGTCAAAACCATTGCTCCCCTGTCAAAACCATTGCTCCCCTGTCAAAACCATTGCTCCCTTTAGCCTGAAAAGAAAAAGGCAAGAATTGAGCCCTGGGTCAAAGCTGAAAAATATAATATAAATAAACTTTATGTTTAATGTTTAATCCTGTTTACCAGCACAAAATTATTAATCTTATCAGTTATTTAAGAACTGAATGAAAAACACTATCCAAATTAGTTTTATTACATTCTGGCATGCATTTTTAAAACTAGAGAAAAAGTTTTTATCTTTATGGATTAGGTTTGAAAAAACTCCTCTTCATCAAAACCTGATTCTCTTCATCAGAAAATAAAATGAACATTTAAAATGTACTAAGCATTAATATATCTTTTATTATCAATTTCTTTGGGGGCCGAGATGGTGTAGAGGCAGGGCAGCCGGCTTGGGACCCGAAAGTCCCAGGTTCGATCTCCAGTCACTGCACATCACGTGGCGTCTCTGGACAGCACACCTCATCCCCAAAATGCCCCCGGGGCGCCCTCAACAGCCGCCCACTGCACCACCTGGTGGTGGATGGGCTAAATGCAGAGACTAATTTCGCCATTGTATGGAAACATACAGTGCTGACATTGTGATGACATTATTATTATTATTAAAACAAATGGAATCGCGCACTGCACGCGCGCCGGCCGTGCACACTGCAACCAGAGAGGCGGCTCCAGCCTCCGACCGTCTTCTCGGCTCGTCTCTTATTTCTCAGTAAAACCATCCATCCATCCATCCATCCATCCATCCATCCATCCATCCATCCATCCATCCATCCATCCATCCATCCATCCATTATCTTTACCCGCTTATTCCATTTTGGGTCACGGGGGTCGCTGGTGCCCATGTCCAGCAATCACTGTGCGAGGGGCGGGGTACACCCTGGACGGGTCGCAAGTCCATCACAGGGACACATAGAGACAAACGAGACAAACAACCATTCATTCTCTCACTCACACCTAGGGACAATTTAGAGTTACCAATCAGCCTAACATGCATGTTTTTGGTCTGTGGGAGGAAACCGGAGCACCCGGAGAAAACCCACGCATGCACAGAGAGAACATGCAAACTCCACCCAGAAAGGCCCCTGGACCAGGGTTTGAACCAGGGACCTGCTCGCTGAGAGCAGGTCCCTGAGCTGCCTTCTCAGTAAAACGAGTTCACATAATCATGTCACGGTTGTAACTTTCATTTTAATCGACAGCTCGTGGTAAATAAATAAATGTAAAACCTGAAACAAATATAAAAACCTGGTATTGTGTGGGTGTTATACAGGTCGTGTTTTTTTGTTTTGTTTTGTTGTTTAGTCGCCTAGAGAATCTACAACTTTGGTCATGTTCACTTTAGCCTGACAAATATGAGTCAGCCACCAACACATCATGCAGATAAATATAGGCTTTCTGGTAAATCTTGTTCAAATGAAACATATGACAATATTGGAGAACAGATATTTCTAGCTGCTATTTTTTGGTATTTAATGTCTGTTTTTTCTTATTTCTCTTGAGAAAAAAAAAACGAACAACAAAGAACGTGGAACAAGATTTCAGCTTGAAGTTCACACTCTGTAATGTTTTGGTGATTATTTAATCATCTTGAGATTTAAATTCAATCATCACACACAACTATCCTTGAGGATTTGGAAACATTTGCTCTTTATTTGCCAAAGTTCGGGGGGGGGGACAGAATATTTCAGCCACCTGAAATAATTTGTTCCCCCCACAACATGGGAACTAAATACTTTTTCTAATAACAATAGGCAATAACCACATAAGACTGTTGATACACTTTATGTGATCTACCCACAAGACAAGAGGTCTTTGTTCTTAGATCCTCTGGGGGAGACAAAGCAAGACATAGAAAAATGCTTGCAAATCACAAGCTATGGGTAAATATTAAAGTAACTCAAGCGTTAAACTCAGGTGATGCTCTTCTTATTACAGTAATATATCTATATTAACAGGGCATTTATGAGGAAGAAGGGACGCAGTGTGTCATGGTGGACATGTGATACTGTCAAACATCCCAAACAACAGGACAGTACATCGTGTGGAGTGTTTGCATTGAAGGTGCATACATATTGTCACACAATGTATGATTTTATGATTATGATATATATATATATATATATTTATATATAAAACATATGAACTTTGTTACTTTCTTGAGTTTAACGCCCTTTAATAAAGGTTTAAATGTCAGTTTGCAGAAAAAAGAGGCTGTGGATTTCCCTGTTTCCAGAGAGGCAGTCAACAGCCTCAGGTTGGACATTGCTGTGAGACTTCTCCTTAACAGTGGTGAGAAATCTAATATTGTTATACCAAACTGTATTATTTTAAAGTTTGCATTGATTGTTATCATGATTACAATTGTTTGTAGCTGTTGATACAAAGACAGGAGTACTTAGCCAAAAGCGACTACATTGACAACAGTGTAGTGAACTTAACCTGATGTCAAAACTGACCAGATGGACAGAAACTGTCATTTCATTGATTTGAATCCAGAAATACAGGTTCACCCATCCTGAGACTCTCTTTCTTGAAAATCAAGTGAAAGAACACTCTCTTTTTATTATCATTACTATTTTACAAATGTTGATAATCAAAGTGTCTTAGTTCAAACCATTTTAGATGTTGCAGTGAACTAATCAATTTTATTAACTGTAAAACAGTAACAATGATTTTTTAATGCTTATGCAGAGTTAGAGTTCATGTTAAGTCTGTTACAGATTTTTATGCATTTTCTGATTTCTGTCTTTGAATGAGCAAGTGTGCGTTTTCCAAGGTCAGGAGTCGAAGCAGACATGT